ACCAACACTATACATTGACGGGGAAGGGGGGTAGCAATAAAGATAACACCATTAAACAGTTACACAACATAACAGAAATAATATCGATAGCAGCGTCCCTAGCAACCACCTTGGTAACAATGAAAACTTCCTGAAGTAATCTTCGTAATAACTAGCAAACTAAAGATCATGTACATCCACTGCACACATAATCTGAAATAACAACTCATATTTCTCGCATCAAATGACATCAAAACGCATTTTAATGGCCAAACTAACTTTAAAATAGGCATTTTCCACCGAGAATAAAACGAAGTTCGGCCATGTTTTTTTTTTCTGCAGGGAGAAATTTGAAGATCACCTGACGTCAAACAGAGCACATGGTGTAGTCCAAACGATAGCTGGGGATTCTGGGTAGTGTAGTGTCTTCTGCCATCCTTTACTCCGAAAAAATATTTGTTTCTCCGAATCGAAGGGGAAAAATACAAAAGCATTGCACACAATTTAAACCAATCAATGTTGTGTAATTAACAAGGATAATCTGGTGTTTTTTAGTCGATGAGTAGTGCAGATATCACTGTAAAATCAATCGACAGCAAGAGGAATACTTACTTCCGGGTGTACAATTATCCGTTATCCAATGAGAATGGACGCTCACATTGCCTTTAAGGGCAGCCGACACAAACGAATGCCGTGCTTCCATGAGCGTCATTACCAGTAGAAATACATTGCTTTTAAAATCGTGCTGTGCAACACAAAAAAAAGGGGGAAATCGTGTTGGTGAACACGAATCAATAGATTAAAAATCGTGTTGGTGAACACGAAATGCCATGAGACTGGGTTGTCAATACACATGCTGCAGCTGCCCAGCTGCTCACTGTTTGTAAAAGTAAATAAATAGTATTTTCATTTCAATAATGTACTTTCTATACCCTGCTTCATAAACAATACTGACATCCCTGTGCTCCTCTGAGTCTGGGGGTCCGGGTTTGTGAGGACAGTGCGAGGACACAGACAGGGAGGTTGCTTTACTTCATAAAGGAAATGGTGGTCAATATTAACAACATAGGAGTTAAAACGCTTAATAACCTTCATTATGTGTTAGAGAAAGAACATAAGAAAGTTTGACAAAGATGAGGCTGTTAATCGGGCAGCAGCTGTGTGTAGAGGGAGAGAGAGAGACGCTGAGCTGCACCGTGCAGCGATCAGCTGATACGGAGCATAGAGAGAGCTGCAGTCCGCGGGGCTCGGCCTCGCCTCCTGTCCTCACAACTCTTATTAATCCCGGTACCGGACAATTGATATTTGTTCCTACTCGGAACCGTGTTTTGCTTCCCAACCCTGCCACTGTGCTACACTTCCCGCCCCGCCCCGTCTAACTGTACAGAAAGCGGCGAGATGCATTTCCTTAGGAATCGACAAGCAGAACCGAAACTAACACTTCTAAACGAACAATGGCGAACACGTACATTTTTCGAATGAGTTCTGCCTTTTGTAAACTGAATGTATCAATAATTTGTCAATAAATCAGGCCGAAAAACGTCACTTGTCCGCCGGACAAGTCAATTGAAAGATCTACTTGTCCGATATTGTAAATAACACGTCCCGGACGGTGGGACGTGTACTTTTTCGCACACTGCATTATGCCAAAAGTCTTCTCACTGGGTGAGCTGCTTTGCAATATACTTCACATTGTTAGAAAAGGCTCCAGAAGGCCTTGGGGACATCAGTATCAGGGGCTGGAGCTGGACAGGCTCTTTCATCAGCACTTCTCCTTCCCTTTGCCAGCCAGGACCTCACATACTGTTCCGGATTGAACTGTCCTAGTGATGGTCCATTACATTTAATGAAAACCAGGCTGGACAGTCGGCTGACAGAGAGAGCATTCCTTTTTGCAGTAAGGATATCGTTCATGCAGCTGAATGCCCGCTCACACTCACTAGTGGAGACAGCGATGGTTCGGACTGCTTTCAGTAGAGGCTCCATGGCAGCAGGTGTACGGGATGCCCTGGTTTCCTTGTATTCGCGAAAGCCCTGAACAGTCTCTCTTCTGTCCACTTTCAGCACTTCGCACAAACGTAGCACCTCTACGTCCCCATACTGTACGTCTAACTCCTCTTCAGGCCAACTTCCAGGATGGATAACTTTCATGTCCTGGATTAGCTGATTGTCCCGGGCCTCCCGGCCATGTAATGGGATTTCTCTTGTGCTGACATGAGAGGAGGTTGTGGAAGTCATTCTGTGTCTCAGATTCTCTACCATACTGCGGAAAAACTGACCTGCATGAATCTGTACAAGCCTGCCATTCTCACGCAGGGCAACACCCTTGAAGGACTTCTCAGCTAGAGCTGTATGAACTGTAGTCATGTGTGGGCCAGGCATGGTGACCATGGATTCAAAAACTCGTATTTCTCGAGTTAAGAGCCTATCTGCTGTAGGCAGTGTCATCTCTCTTTTTTGGAGTTGCCGAGAGAGGTCGCTGAGCTCTGTGAGCGCATCGTACATCAGTCCCAGATTGCTGACAAACGTTGCAGATGTGAGCACATCATCCAGGCCCTTGTACTTTGCGCTGTCTCTGGAATCCCTGCTCGTGTCGTTTGCAGCATTTGTGAAGTGATCATGAAGCACTCGGTAGTTTTCCCAGACTGCTCTGACGCTCCTTTCACTTGAAGCCACCCAGCGGATGGACAAAACACGCCCTATCACCAGGAGACGCTGTCCGACTGCTTGCGCACACTGCGCTAACTGCCTCTGATTTTTGGGGGAGGCATGGAACAAGGAATAGAGTTTGTCAAAAAAGATCTGGAAATGATTGAGCCCTGAGACCTCCTTGACCACATCCCCAACTGCCAGCTCTAGACGATGATTGGAGCAGTGCCACACAAACAGGCTTGGGAATTTACTACACAACTGGGTAGCAACGCCTGTTCTCTTCCCTAGCATGACTGAAGCCCCATCACATGCAAAAGAAACAAAACACTGACCTAAAAAGTCCTCGTTAAAATCTCTTCCAAGACACTCCATTAACGCCTTTGTGATGTCATCAGCCGTTGTTCCATCCAACTCGATCAGCTCCCAAAAAAACGTTTCGGGCTCAGCATCAGCTAATGCTGAGCGTAGACACACAACAAGCACCGTTTTACCACTAATAGTGGTAGATTCATCGACCAAAACACAGAGTTTTCTTTGCTTTTCTGTAATGTCTTTTGCCATTTTTTTCTTCAGCTCATGAGCTATGTGGTCGATGATTTCGCCACAGGTTTTATTGGAGTGCAAAACCCTGCCCACGTTCAGCCCATTCAGTTTCTGTACATTCAAATCAATTGGCATGTCTGTGAATGGCCGGCTATGTTTGCCAATTTTATATGCCGTTCGAAAAATTCTGATAGTGGTGTCTAATTCAGATTTATGCATAGACTGCACTTGATGTTGAATAGTTTCACATGAAGCAGATGTAAGGATGTCAGCAGCTTTTACATGGGCTTGTGATTCTTTATGTTCTTTGATTTTTTTTTCTCAGGCTAGCTTGTTGTTTGCCCTTGTCAACACCGAAATGAGACACTGCACACTCACCCCATTCAGTTGACAGTTTCAGTCCTTGTCCAGTGTGTATTCCCAAAGATTTGACATCTCTGCATATCCGACATCCTAGCTTCTTATCTTTAAGAAGGAGCCATGCATTGGTCTTGCAAAAATATTGCACCTGGTCCGTTGTCCAGCAGTCAGGTGCATCGCTTTGCCCGGTGTTGGTGGTGGCAGTTGCGCCAGCAGCAGCTAACGTTAGAGGCTCTGGAGGAGGCGGCGGAGCTAGTGCTAATGCTAATGCACTAGAACTTGGAGCAGGAGGATCAACCAAAGAAAGCTCCCCAACAGACACAATTTCCAACACAGGCACAGCATTCTCTGTATTTGAAATTTCTTCCGGCGACAACCGCTGTCTTTTTGCACTTTTATTAATCCACGCTAACATTTTAGAAATGCTAATTTGTGACGTGACTTGCTTTCCTTCTCTCGGGGGCGTGCCTGCTCTGTTCTATCACTCTACATAGCCACCCACTGGGTGGGAGTTGCACTGCATAAACACAACACACGTGCATCTAGGTATGTACATTGTAAAGCATTAAAACATGGTTTTACTAACAGTTTTCAGTATGTTGTTACTTCGGCATTATTATTATTATTATTTTGAAACGTGTATTACTATTAAATCACGGTCAAATAGGTTAATTTTGACATAGTCGTTTCCACCACAGTATTTACATGGAGAAGATAAGCCCCGCCCCCTCTCCAGCACGTTCTGTTTGAATGACAGGAGTAAACAGCTGACAGCCGCTGTGAAACTCCAGCGGTTAGAGCGATGAGAATGTCCGTTCGGCACCTCATGACGCATCTACTGAGTACCGGGCGGCTGTATATATATATATATATGGATGTATAATAAGAACGGCGGGAGAGTGTTGAGTACTGGCACGGTGCATGAGTACCGGAGTACCGCCAGCATGCCGGTACTGAGCAAGAAGTGCCGGTACTCCATGGGTCAGAACCAGAAGTGCCGGTACTGCGTACCGGTGAGTACCGGCCCAATTCCAGCACTGAGTACCCTGAGTCAGGATAGATGCTAACTTCGTGAAACTTGACATTCTTTAGAGAGGTTTAGCAGAAGCAGGTCCAGGCGGACTCATCAGGGCCATCATCAGTGCCCTTTGACCTTTCTCAGGAACCACCCTGTCAAAGCTCACTATAGCTATTCATTCCATCCAAATAACTGCTTCAGACCTTTGTGAGATGTTCTCCCTGAGCTTCAGACCACTTCAGACCACTTGAGACCACTTCAGACCACTTGAGACCACTTCAGACCACACAGCGATGCTGCTCAGCTGCCAGGCAGACCTGCAGGGCCCTCCCTCTGGAGCCCATTGGTCCATTTGGGTGATTGACACCTCTTTGTAACCGTTAGAGCCAATAGAGTCGAGGGGGAGTTCCTAAATCCATGTAAACATCACCATTGGTCAGTTGAAAGGAGACGCTAGGTTTATAACCAACACAAGTAATGAGGTTTCTCAGTAATCACTTCGCAGAGACATCGACTAACGCTCAGCTGCGTTTATGCTCTTGAACACAACGTTGGATCAGAAAGCCCAGAGGTAACACTTCATTATCATCATGGCTGCTAGTTCAGTGAGTTCTGGTCGCACAGAGATGAGACTTATACCTGTGGAATCTCAGCTTCATGTGATATGTCGTTTGTGCAGATAGGATGACTTTGTTGCGAGTTATGTGTTCAGTGCATGTTTCGCTAAGTGTTGATCCAGAGGCTTGGTGTTGCCCTTGCGTTTGGTTTGAGCTAAACATGGTTCATATCGTCTGATGGCGGAGTGTCTTCCCGCTAGTGGGTAAGAGCGTTTGGTTTGAGCTACACATGGTTCATATCGTCTGATGGCGGAGTGTCTTCCCGCTAGTGGGTAAGAGCGTTTGGTTTGAGCTACACATGGTTCATATCGTCTGATGGCTGAGTGTCTTCCCGCTAGTGGGTAAGAGCGTTTGGTTTGAGCTACACATGGTTCATATCGTCTGATGGCGGAGTGTCTTCCCGCTAGTGGGTAAGAGCGTTTGGTTTGAGCTACACATGGTTCATATCGTCTGATGGCGAAGTGTCTTCCCGCTAGTGGGTAAGAGCGTTTGGTTTGAGCTACACATGGTTCATATCGTCTGATGGCGGAGTGTCTTCCCGCTAGTGGGTAAGAGCGTTTGGTTTGAGCTACACATGGTTCATATCGTCTGATGGCGGAGTGTCTTCCCGCTAGTGGGTAAGAGCGTTTGGTTTGAGCTACACATGGTTCATATCGTCTGATGGCGGAGTGTCTTCCCGCTAGTGGGTAAGAGCGTTTGGTTTGAGCTACACATGGTTCATATCGTCTGATGGCGGAGTGTCTTCCCGCTAGTGGGTAAGAGCGTTTGGTTTGAGCTACACATGGTTCATATCGTCTGATGGCGGAGTGTCTTCCCGCTAGTGGGTAAGAGCGTTTGGTTTGAGCTACACATGGTTCATATCGTCTGATGGCGGAGTGTCTTCCCGCTAGTGGGTAAGAAGCCCGGAGACCGCCGGCGCTGTGTGAGGGTCAGGGGTTAATAACAACCAGGGTTACCTTTGACTATTTAATGTCTTTGATTAGCCGAAAACAGTTGATATTATTTCTAGTATAAATATAGAGATCTTTGATATGAAAGGATTACCAAAGAGAACATACCGTATATGATCCAATCCACTCGGAGACATAATACAACAAGGAGCTGATGGTTATTTGACGACTGCTGATAATAATTATTATTGTAATGTTTCCATGTTGTGATTGGACATGAGAGACTCAACCTTTCACAGCCACTTCTAGCCTGTAGCTGCTGAGCATCTGATGATAAAACCATTCTTTGCATTTAAGAATTGTTATTTACTCTTTTGCCAAATAAGCACATTGCAAAGATGGCAGACAGGAAGCAGAGCCCCGAGGAGGTACTGGCCGCTCTGGCTGAAGAAGATAGCGAGGCAGACTCTCTGGTCGACTCGGCGTCGGACGACGAGGACCTCCTGCAGCCGGAGAGACGCTCGCATCATGATGATTCACCATCGGAAAGGTACGTTGGTCCATTACTTATTGATCTGGTGTCAGACAGGGGTCCAAAGTGTTTCCCTCAGGGCCACAGAAAGATATACGAAGCGCTGGGCCGCTCAGAGGTTCATCGCCTCGTAACTTATGCACCTTTGCAAAATGCACCTTTGTACGTCTTTTAGACATGAATCGATGAGAGTAACACCTACGTCACTTCCGGGCAAAAATTAAGGCCCCGCCCACTTTTTGGGGAAAACAACGCTGTCATTTGAATGGCGGTCAATACAAATTCTGAAGTTTTTGCCAATCCGATCAAATTTTTTTGAAAACCGTGGATTTTGGGATCTTCAAAGAGCTCGATTACGATGGCCAGTCAGGCAAACAATTACATTCGATCATTGGTAATCGACAATCGGTCTTGATGTATGGTTAAATTAAAATCAGTAGGCGAGCCTGTAATTTCGCCAGCTGTTACTCTCATGAGCGAGGTGGAATATAATAGTTTTATCAGCCAAAAAGCTGCCGTGTCGTTTATTGCACCTCAAACATTAAAAATAATCAAGAGTTCAGTGTTTCTGTACTTCCTCTAAGAAGAAAGGACAGTAACAGAAGAGCTCTGTGGCTTCAGGTTCGATCGCCGTTCAAATGACAGCGTTGTTTCCCCCAAAAGTGGGCGGGGCCGTAAAGTGACGTAGATGTTACTCTCATCTATGAAAATCGATATATAAAATGTAGGCATGATGCTTTGATCCCAGCTCTCTTTAGGGTTTCATTTGTCTTGTTGGCATCCCTTAAAACAGATCCTCAGTCTTGATGATAATGGAAAGGGTCTATTAACTATTCTGTTGAGTGAATTCATTTTAGAAGTGGGCTTATTACCACATGTTTCATTTGTGGGCCATTTGTCATTATACTTTTTGAATTAGCTGAGGCCGCATCTGGCCGTAGTTTGGGCCCCGCTGCTGTCAGATCATTCATCGAACCACCTTATTGTCCTGCAGTGAATGAAGTGAACTCACACACTCAAGCTGGATGGTAACTTCCCCAGTACAGGAATCATTTACCTCAACGTCCAGTTAGTGTTACGTCTGTTTGGAGTTACATTTTCAAAAGTATAAGCCAGTGAATTCATCTGTTTGTTTTCCACTTTTGTTTTCACAGTGATGAAGAGTACGAGACTCAGCCATCATCTTCCTCACCTGGATCTGAATCACCCAAAGACACGCAGTCCAAAGGAAAAGGAAACGCCTCTTCAAACCCCATGAAGCGTGTCCGCAGGTCTCCCCGAGGTGGGTCTCCAGCCCTCAGGTGGCGCAGCAGAGAGGAGAAGGACAGAGGACCAGAGCCTCGGAGGTTCATGCCAGCCAGGGTCCCCGGCCCCGCGTTAGACCCCAGCGCAGCGTGGTCGCCCCTCTCTCTCTTCAGACTGTTCTTCAGCCCCTCTGTGGTCCAGAGGCTCGTCGACAACACCAATGCAAACGCCCTGAAGAGGTCACAGGCTGGAAAGAAGTACGTTTGGAAAGAGCTGACTGTGAGGGACTTCTATATCTTCCTGGCCATTACCATTCTCTCGGCCCTCGTCCACGTTGCCCACAGATCAGACTACTGGTTGAAGAAAGGTCTGTACGACTTCCCATTCGCCGCTGAGAACATGTCCCAGGAACGCTTTGAAGCCATCCTGTGGTCGCTGCACATGAGCGACCCTGAAGGAGACGAGGAAAACGAGCGCAAGAGTAACACCGCCGAGTACGACAGACTCTTCAAGATCAAGCCCCTTTACACGGACATCATTGCTGCCTGCAAAGCACACTTCCAGCCCTATCAGAACCTTTCAATAGATGAGAAGATGGTGGCCTTCAAGGCCATGGAGCCGCATATGAGAGACCAGCCCATAAAGTGGGGGTACAAGCTGCTCGTGCTGGCGGACTCCTCAACGGCATACACCTGGAACTTCTCTGTGTGTACGGGGGAGAGTGAGTCCACTACAGGCCGTGGACTCAGCTACTCCTCCGTGATGGACCTCCTGCCCCTCCCTCTGCTCGGTCAGGGCTACACACTCTTTGTGGACAACCTTCACACCAGCCCTGCCCTCTTTAAGCATTTGTCCACGAAAAACATTGGCTGTTGTGGGATCATTGGAAGAAATCAAATTGGCTTTCCACAGACTGAGTTGAATGAACTTCCGAAAAAGGCTGAGAGGGGAGATTTGCGGTGGATAAGGAGAGGAGAGCTCCTGTTCGTCAAGTGGATGGACAGCTGGGAAGTGTGCATGTGCTCCACCGTGCACGAGGCCTTCAGCGGACAGACTCTCAGGAGGAAGGTGAAACGGGCTGGTGAGTGGCAGATTAAGACTGTTCCCGTTCCTGACGCTGTGGTGGACTACAGGCAAAGCATGCGCGGCGAGGACGTGTCCGACGTGAACTACAGCGCTCACCACAAAACAAAGAAATGGTACAAGACTTTTTTTTACCATTTTCTGGAAATTTCCGTGGTGAACAGCTTCCTTCTCCACGAGGAGCTGCTCAAGGTGAGCAGTGACCCCGGCAGGACGAAGCCACACACCCTGAAGTCCTTCAGGGAGCGGCTGGCTGCAGACATGTTGGAGTTTGCTGAAGGCTGTGCAGCACCATCACTGCTCAAATGCATGCCCATGTTTTATGGGGAAGATGGCACCCAGTCCAGGAGGTACTGCAGGAGGTGCCATGATGCTGGCTACAAGAGGGTGAAGACACCTGTCTACTGCAGCAAGTGCCTGGTCCCTCTGTGCCTCACTGCCAAGAAGAACTGTTACATGGAGTGGCACCTCAACACTCGCATCCAGGATGCATAATGGTCTGCCAGTGTGTCGTTTTCACCTACCTCTAAAATGAGTGGATTTCTTTTATATTGTGTTTAATGTTTGAAATAAATCTGCTCCAGTTGGAGTCAAACTTCTTTTCCTGTGTATGTTTTTCTGATGAATGGGGAGAGGTATAGAGGTCTGGGTGAATGTTCAAAAGCAGTTGGATGGAATACCTTGAGTGATATTTCAATGCGTTTGACAGTGGCTCCTGAGAAAGGTCAAAGGGCACTGATGTACCCAAAGGTGAGTCCGCCTGGACCTGCTTCTGCTAAACCCCTCTAAAGAATGTCAAGTTTCACTACATGAGTGAGTTATGTGATGTTTAGCGGCTTGGTGTTGGACTTGTGTTCCGTGTAGGTGAAACGTGCTCATATGGTCTGATGGCTGAGTTCCTTCCCGTTCAGTGGGGATGCATCAGGACGAGGGCTGTGAGGGCTAGGGGCTGAATAACAACCGGTTCCACAGGGTTACCTTCACTGTTTAATCTCTTTGATTAGCCGAAAACATTTGATATTATTTCTAATAAGAATATCTAGAGATATTTGATATGAAAGGATTACCAAAGAGAAGATAACATTTGGCGTTTCAACATCTTTCGGAGCGTTGCTTTTTTGTTTGTACTTGTTTTATGGTGTGTGAGCTGAGTTACTTCTTTGTATGCTTTGTTTGATCTATTTGCCTGTACAGCACTATGGTCTGGAGGTTTAAAGTGCTTTATAAATAAAGTTGTATTGTAACATACCGTAGATATGATCCAATCCACTCAGAGATAATACAAGGAGCTGATACTCATTTTACCACTAATAATAATAATTGTAATGTTTCTGTTGAACTGTTGTGAACGATTCATCTCTTGAATGCTCTTATGCTGACGTTATCTGTCAATCACACAGCTGGTTCTAATAAAGGGATCATTGCTGGCTCACTGGAGAACTCAGTCAGTGTCATGTGAACTACAGTGCAAGTGTGTGGCGTCTTGTATTCCTCCGTAGTATTAGTCCAAGGCTATCTAGACCTCTGCTGGTAATGGTTGCTGCGCCAACAGGTTATGGGCCCAGAAAGGATTTTGGAAACCGATGGAATCGTTTGTGCTTTGACGGAGATGAGAAAAGCTATGAGTTGTGGGAAACAAAGTTTCTTGGCAACTTGCGTCTACAAGGGCTGAAAAGCACCATATTGAAAGAGCCTGACAGTGCAGGAGGCGAAGAGGACGCAGAAGGAGCCGCAGAAGACGCTGATAAAAATGAAGAAGTCTACGCTGAACTTATTCAATTGTTGGACGATACAAGTTTGTCTCTGGTCATGAGAGATGCAGCGGACGATGGGAGAAAGGCGTTGAAGATTCTGAGGGATCACTACGCAGGTACAGGAAAACCGCGTGTGATCAGCTTGTATACAGAGCTTACGTCTCTCCAGAAATATGCTAATGAAAGCATCACAGACTATATTATACGAGCAGAGACTGCTATCACAGCACTGAGGAATGCAGAAGAGATTGAGTGACGGTTTATTGATAGCTATGATTCTGAAGGGGCTGCCAGCGTCATTTAAGCTGTTTTCTATCCACACTACACAAAGTGATGAGAAGATCACCTTCGCCGAGTTCAAGACCAAGCTGAGGAGCTACGAGAGCACTGAGGAGTTCAGTGGGAGCTCAGTTGATGACAGCGTGATGAAAGTAAGAGGCAAAGACCCGCGAGTGCAAGGCTGCTGGTCACGGGCCCGCGAGTGCAAGGCTGCTGGTCACGGGGCCCGCGAGTGCAAGGCTGCTGGTCACGGGGCCCGCGAGTGCAAGGCTGCTGGTCACGGGGCCCGCGAGTGCAAGGCTGCTGGTCACGGGGCCCGCGAGTGCAAGGCTGCTGGTCACGGGGCCCGCGAGTGCAAGGCTGCTGGTCACGGGGCCCGCGAGTGCAAGGCTGCTGGTCACGGGGCCCGCGAGTGCAAGGCTGCTGGTCACGGGGAACAACAGAGACAGTGGTGCCGTCTTTGCAGGAGTTCCACGCACAGAGATGCAAACGTATTCAAAGAAGGACAGAACAAGCTCATTCACCAGAACGGTACGACATTTGATATTAAGGTGTATGATAGATTGTTTTATTTAAACACAGTTAATGATGAACATGTTGATGAATGTCATGGGTCACTGTAACTACGAAGATGTGTTGAAATTGCAAAAAGTCACAGAGGGTATGACAATTAAAGGCAAAACTGATACATCTCATTTGACATGTGAAGTGTGCACAAAAGGGACATGTGCTCCGAGCAGGAGCAGAGAGCCAGATGAAACGGCAAAGGCTGCACTGCAGCTTGTACACACAGGTTTCTCTGGACCTATAGATCCTACAGCTAAAGGTGCGTTCAGATACACATTAGCACTTACTGATGACTATTCAGGAGCAGTTTTTGTTTATGTTTGAAATCTAAGAGTGACACAGTCAAGGCTACTGAGAAGTACATTGCTGACGTTTCACCTTATGGACAAATCAAATGCATGAGATCTGATAATGGTACTGAGTATACTTCTGGTCAATGTCAGTCATTGCTAAGTAGAAATGCCATCAGAGACCTCAGCTCCTTATCCGCCCCGTCACAACGGGACAGCTGAGAGAAATTGGAGAACATTGTTTGAAATGGAGAGATGCATGCTAACTGAGAGTAAGCTACCAAAAGAGTTGTGGACAGTTATGACTGCTGCTGTCATTCGAAATAGGTGTTGCAACAAACGTGTAGGACAGACTCCATACTACATGTTGACAGGAAAGAAGCCTAACCTTTCAAAAAGGAGAACATTTGGGTCACCATGCTGTGATAAGAACAGCCCTGCTTTCTTTGTGTTTCATCCTGACACAGGAAGAGTACTCAACAATAGGTTGGTCAAATTCATCACCAAGAGTGTCATTGAGAGTCAGACTCAAACAGAGCAGGAAACGGATGATGGAGATTTCAGTATGAGGAGAGCTGGAAACCACATACCAACAATGTAAAAGGCAAATGTAATCCCAAAAGAGTCACAGGAAAATGAGACTGAGATTTTTGATAACATTCAGACAGGTGAAGGTCAAAGTAGCCAGAGGACATCGTACCCACAAAGGGAAAGAAAACCTCCTTAATATTTCCAGAGGACATCGTACCCACAAAGGGAGAGAAAACCTCCTTAATATTTCCAGAGGACATCGTACCCACAAAGGGAAAGAAAACCTCCTCAATATTTCCAGAGGACATCGTACCCACAAAGGGAGAGAAAACCTCCTTAATATTTCCAGAGGACATCGTACCCACAAAGGGAAAGAAAACCTCCTTAATATTTCCAGAGGACATCTTACCCACAAAGGGAGAGAAAACCTCCTTAATATTTCCAGAGGACATCGTACCCACAAAGGGAAAGAAAACCTCCTCAATATTTCCAGAGGACATCGTACCCACAAAGGGAAAGAAAACCTCCTTAATATTTCCAGAGGACATCTTACCCACAAAGGGAAAGAAAACCTCCTCAATATTTCCAGAGGACATCGTACCCACAAAGGGAGAGAAAACCTCCTTAATATTTCCAGAGGACATCGTACCCACAAAGGGAGAGAAAACCTCCTTAATATTTCCAGAGGACATCGTACCCACAAAGGGAGAGAAAACCTCCTTAATATTTCCAGAGGACATCGTACCCACAAAGGGAGAGAAAACCTCCTTAATATTTCCAGAGGACATCGTACCCACAAAGGGAGAGAAAACCTCCTTAATATTTCCAGAGGACATCGTACCCACAAAGGGAAAGAAAACCTCCTTAATATTTCCAGAGGACATCGTACCCACAAAGGGAGAGAAAACCTCCTTAATATTTCCAGAGGACATCTTACCCACAAAGGGAAAGAAAACCTCCTTAATATTTCCAGAGGACATCGTACCCACAAAGGGAAAGAAAACCTCCTTAATATTTCCAGAGGACATCGTACCCACAAAGGGAGAGAAAACCTCCTTAATATTTCCAGAGGACATCGTACCCACAAAGGGAAAGAAAACCTCCTTAATATTTCCAGAGGACATCTTACCCACAAAGGGAGAGAAAACCTCCTTAATATTTCCAGAGGACATCGTACCCACAAAGGGAGAGAAAACCTCCTTAATATTTCCAGAGGACATCGTACCCACAAAGGGAAAGAAAACCTCCTTAATATTTCCAGAGGACATCTTACCCACAAAGGGAAAGAAAACCTCCTCAATACTTGAAGGATTATGTCAAGTGGAATCTGATGACCAAGGAGAACTAACCCTTGATTACTGTTATAGAGTTATTTGTGCTCCAAACATTGAAGGAGGCTGACATCACCAAATGCTCAATGGTGGGCTAAAGCTATGGAGGAGGAATGGACTCACTAAGGGGAAAGACACATGTACCCTGACCACACTGCCAGAACATGCAGTGGGGGCAGATGGGTTTACAGTGAAAGAGAACCCAGTTCAAACAGGTATGTAGCAAAAGGCTATAGTCAAGTGTCTGGTATTGATTATCAGGAAACCTTTTCTCCAACTGCAAATATGACATCTGTACGTAGTCTAATGCAAATCGCAGCACAACATGATTTAGAATTGCATCAAATGGATGTTAGAACGGCATATTTCCATGCTCCTATAGACTGTGAGTTGTTTATGGAACAACCTGAAGGACTTGAGGTGAAGTCAGAGAACGGGGAGAAACTGGTCTCTAAACTTAACAAATCACTGGATGGTCTGAAACAATCAGGACGGAATTGGAATAAAATGCTCCATGATTATCTCAGTGAAAATGGCTTTATTCAAAATGCGGCTGAGCATTGTGTTTACAGTAAACTAACATCTAAAGGTGAGAGGATTATTTTGATCATCTGGGTTGATGATCTTATCATTGCAGGAAGCAACAGTCAAACAATCCAAAACGTAAAAGACATTTTGGGAGCAAATTTAAGATGAAAGATCTTTGCAAACTTAAGAACTTTCTAGGCATTGATTTCACACAGACAGATGGGGAAATAAAGACGAACCAGAAAAGGTACATCATGAACATATTGCAAAGGTTTGACATGTCTGACTGCAAGGCAAGATCGACTCCATGTCTGACTGC